GTGAATCCGGTTACCATATTTTTAAATTATACTAATGGAAATATAAGGCCATTGATTCCAAAAAGCCAAATCAACTTCATCTCTTAAATTAGTCTGTATATAATGAACTGTTTAATTTGGACTCTGAAGTTGCTTCAAAGAACCCATTATGATAGCCAAAGACTAACCATGATTAAATTTCCCTCCAAGGACAAATTAAAAAATAGCTCATATTTTTCAGTCTTCATTCATTTCCTAAATCATCAGGAAAAATGTTTACTAGGTAAATTGGTCATCTTTATTATCGTGGCTTTAACATTCCATGCTGATACTGTTCTCTTAAACCTTTGGTCTCAGACTGAAGCAGGAGGAAGTGGTGACTGAAGCAGATTTGATTTCCACTGAAACAAAAAAGGCAGCCACAAGTCTCTGAGCTCCCTGAATCTGAACAAAATGCAGAATGACTTGGAGTACTGTGACCTAGCTTGAAAAGTTGTAATGGCCCTGATAACGATTCATGTTTTCACAAAACAAAGGGCTATCTCTCTAACCTCACAGCCTAGGCAGGGCCTCCTCCTCTGAGCTGCCTTTGATGATGAGACTCGGGCAGCCAGTCTCAGAGAGAAAGGGACATTCAGGGAATTTTAAGTGGTTTGAATCAGCAGTTGTCATATGCAATTGATGTTCATTTATATTTCACTAGCCAAAATCTAATGCTGCCGAAATTGGGAAAAAATATTTCAAATATTAATCAGGGCCAATCCTGCTTTAATGTAAAAAATGAGCTGTCTTACCTTTTTTTAATCCTAGAATCAGAGGGAGATTTAATATTTCCTGACAGTGCTTTAAATACTTTGCTGTTCAGACTTCAATGAATCCACCATAATTATATCAGTTAAAGCAGCTTGGTTTTTTCAAAGCTGTTTCAAGCTTAGGGTACTTTTGAACTCCTTATCATGGCATTCAGCCTTTGATACCAGGTTTAATAGAGAAAAGACCAATCCTCAAATGGACCACCACTTAGCTCTTTAACCCATTTATCCATTAGTTGTTTATATTTTAATCTATGGACTCTGTGGTCTGTAATTTCCCAGCTTCCTCCTCTCCAGGAAATGTAATTGCACAGCATCTGGGAGCCACACACTATTCTCAGGGGACAGTTTCAGGGAAGACCTAGTGATTTTTAATTCCCAGAAGATCAAACAATAAAGACTTCAGTAGATTATCATTAAGAACTGATTTCACGTTTGGTGTCTAACTAAGCCTTTTATAAGAGCTTTTTCTTTTGTCATTTCAGTGAAGGAGGCTAAAAAAATTATCTTTGTTTCCCAGGTGGAAAAAAGGTGAGCTATTAATATATCATTTGTGGTTTTCTTTGGGGGGGAGTACCAGTTTCTTTAGGTGGAAATTTATTGTACTCACCCCTCACCACCCCCTCAACAAAGCCAACAATTGTTTCACAGTTTTGGCTTCAATTAACCTGCTCATTCTCCCTGTACCACACTCTCCAGTAAAGTGAGATCCTCACAGTGTGTTGTACTGGCAATTTCAGCCTTTACCTCTACAGCCAGTGAATAAACAAAAGAGAACATATTTTTCTTCAGAAGAACAGCCAAAGAGCACTAATCACATGTACATAAAGCCAGTGGATGAACCAGAAGGCCTCCGCTCTGCGTGAGTAGGTGGCGAGCCTCACCTTTCTAAGAAACAGGGATGGCTAGTGTAGGTCCCTCTTTATTTCTTCAGGTGACCACTGAATCCCCACAGCAGAGCCCTAGCTTCTTTGAAAGTTTGAAACATACCACCACAAGCCAGTGATCATATCTGGAAACTCTTTCATTGTTTTCCCCTAATGTCTCATGTAAAAATAAATGAGAAGTCATAGAGTGGATGCTTATTAATAACAAAAGAAATTATCAAAGAGATGAACATAAATGGTAATGAAATCAGAACAGGACGGTGAAATACACAATACAGACACTGAAGGGCTGAAAGGGAGGAGAGATGATAACAAGGCAAGGTTCGCTTTGAACTTCTTAGTCAGTATTTATCATGTTTTCTCTTAATTTTCTAACAGCCATTTGTTATTTTACATCAAAATCTCTTATCAATCCAAATTTTATCATTTCATGCAGTTATTTAATCCTGCCTTACCCCATTTGCATGCTCCTCCAAGATAAATACCAGCAACTGAATTTGCTACTTTCATTCTCAGTAGGAAACGTGTTGATGCTATTATTAGGCTAACTTAGCAAAGGTTACCTCTTAAGGCAATGGATTTGGACTCTTTGCAGGGTTAATGCCAAGATGGGATGCTATAGTGGTAAGATCTTCAAACTTGGGAGTGAGAGGACATGAGGTCTTCTTCTAACTTGGCTCTTAATATGTGTATATGTCAGTCAGCTTAAGCCACGTCATTAGGGTGATCATTTGCCCTAACCCAAAATTTGCACCCTATGTGTCATCAGCTAGGCTTCAAATAGTACATCCTTCAGATATCCCCTCCTCCAGAGCTGCTTCCTAGCAAGGTTGTAGCTATCTTAATCTTCCAACAACACTAGGGTATTCTTAGTCGGCATAATAGATGTTAAAAATGGATTTCCATGCGTAAAAATTGACTTGTCAGTTAGGATTTAGGAATATCAGAAATGGGTATGAAATAATGAAAACAGTGAAAATAAAGCCATGTGGGTTCCATGAAATATTCTATAGACTCCCATCCTGCTTGCGTAAATAGGATAACAATCTACAAAACCCCATGGCCTGTACCATTAGGGATATTGTCTCCTAGATTGTCCTGTGTCTGCCTATTTACCCAGCCCTCTGATGGCCTGATATCTACTATGGGGTTAACTGAACCTGCCTCTGGAGGAGAGCCATGTCTGCCTCAAGTGGACATTGCACACACTGGTAGAGTTAGAACACCTGCAGGCCGAGAGCTAGAATTTCATCAAACTCATAGAATAGCTTATATGAGCTTTTTTGTGTCTGCTTCCTAATAAATGTTTAATATACATCTTTATGTATGGCTGAACTTGGTCAGAGACTCACTCTCAATATAAATTGATGAAGAGGTTGTGGGGAGATTGTTATTCTTCACCCATCTCTAATTATTGGTGGTTACCATTAACCACAAAATAATCTTTGCAGTATTACCCATTAATTACCCAGCACTGATCTCTCTGTAGCCCTGCCCCAGGTAGTCTTACTGTCACCCAGGTGTCTGTAGGCCATTAGTTGGCAATGAACTTGTAAATCTCCAGACTACAGACCCAGAGGAGTGCAGAAGGGTTCAATACATGCATAGGGCTCTCCTGGTTTAGCAGCCCCTTTGGACTCAATGGTTGGGTTTGACTAGTGCCTGGTCTTTGCTCCCAAGTTCCAGAAGTTAGGATTTTTTCACTTTTCTTCTGGGAACTGAAGACCCTTTGGGAGTCCTGATCAGTGCATTCTGCAGGCTACACTTCTTGCATGGGGCCACGGTCAAGCCCTTTGAACAGAATACAGATATGGACACCATGGTGGCATGTCATAGAGAGAAGTGACAATGATGATGATGGTTGTTAATATAATCTCCACATGGCAAAAACCTATCTCACCACAGATTGTGTTTGGTTGCATATAAAATGTAGTTGAAGGTATATTGACTTAAACTACTATGTGGGTTTTTTTCTCTCTCATAACACCTCTAGAGTTGGGCAATCTAAAGCTGATACAGGGCTTCATTGATGCTTAACAAGGACCCAAAATCTAACTTCCCACTCTGCCGTTATTAGTTTGTGTTTCTTGTCCTGTACTTTCAAAATAGCTGCAACACCTTTGTACATATATTGGAAAGGGAAATAGAGCAAAGGGCTTTCAAAAATAAGATACTGTCTTTTTATTCAGGAGAGAAAGAGCTCTCTGGGGATTCTCACTTGCATTACATTGTCCAGAACTTTGTCTAACTCTAGTGCAAGGGAGTCAGGGAAGAGAGGAGTATTAGCAGGACATATCGCCATCCTAAAACAATGAAGTCCTACAGTCAGGGAGAAGGGGAATGGACGTTTGTTAGACAACAAGTGTGTTTACCACTACCACTAGTTACCAGTCATTTTACCAGGTACTTTTTATACCTGCCATCTCTAATGTTGCATTAGGGGAACCATTTTTAACACGATGACACTAAGGATTAAAGCCTTATAGTAACTTGCCCAAGAAAATGGAAGATTCATGATTCAGATCAAGGTCAAGTTGATTGATAACAATAATAATAATAGTTAATGTTGGTGAAATGCTTGTCACGTGTTGGAGATTCCTTTAGTCGCTTTATGTGTATTGACTCTTTTCCTTTCCATAGAAACCCTCTGAAAGAAGTATCTCTATAGTCCTCATCTACCAGGTGAGCCAATCAAGTGTTCAAGAACTTAAGAACCTTTTTAAGAGTCACATGAGTTGTAAGAAGTGAAGCTCAAGTTTGAACGCTGTTCTGTGTGACTCTTTAGCTCTTGACCACCTTACTACATGGCTTTTGCAAAACCCACTCTCTCAGACCATATACACTGCCATAATCTTACAGGAGTTGTAGAGACACTGAGAAAACAAGCTCGTGGTTAAATACTAATAAGGCAGCTACTCAGTACTTCAGCTTAGAGGTATTAAATAGAGGAAGACCCAAGAAACAGAAAGAAAATCAGTCAGGTCTGAGCCGGTATTCGTGCATATGCCAGAAGAAGCTCTTACTATTTTTCCTTCACATAAAGGTCTCCTTTGTCTACACTGCTATGTATTCTTGATATCTATCACAAAAGATTACAATTGCTTGCTGCTTACCCAGTGACTGTCTCCCATTCTTTCCTAACAGGACCCCCATTTTACCTAGGGCAACACTGGTTTCAGTTAAAATGACTCACTTCCATAGACTCCCTTGCCTCTGTGGGGTGGCTTTTGATATGAGACTGATCAGTGACATACAAGTAAGCATAATCTTTTGGTGAGGACTTCCTGAAAGTTATTGTTTATTGCTGAAAAGGGACAAGCTCACACTCAGTTTGGCAGCATATGTGCTAAAATTGGAATCATACAGAGAAGATTAGCATAGCAGTTGCACAAGGATGGCACACATATTTGGGAAGGATTTTATATTTTGTGCAGTTCCCAGAGATCATTTGACACCTCACTGGTTAATATCAAGGAAACAATATGAGTCAAAGCACAACATGTGGCATCCAATATTGAATTTGTGTTTTTCTTGAGAGAGAGTGTGAGAGAGACGGGGAGAGAGAGAGAGACAGAGCAAGAGAGAGAGAGAAAGAGAGAGACCAACTGGTTTATTCACTTGCCTTTTATTCATTCCTTTTCTTTCAACCTGAAATACAGTTGTGATGTCCAGTGGGGCAGCAGCCATATTATGAAAATGAAGAAGATAAAAATTTTAACCTTGGACTAAGGGTGATATAGTGGAAAGATAGGCAACTGCTTAACTGCTGAGTCCCTGATAGCCTTGCAGTGCCTCCATACCAACCTAAATTTGCCTATCTCTGGGCTTGCGATGGCTTACAAAAATCCTATTTAGTTAGGCCACTGTAGTTGTTTTGTTACTGTTGTCACATGAAGCTTAAAATGACACCGACTGATAACAATGGCCACACTATTCTCCCCTTCTATCAGGCTTTTTCTGTTTAGTCCCTAAATGATCTCTATATCAGTGTCATGGCCCAAGTTCCCACTGCATGGGCGACCAGGTAGAATGTTAGTCAGTCTGAAAGGAGTGGGTTTACAGCACTAGCACCTTGGACTAAAGAAGGCCTCAGGGCAGTCGGATGACATTGTGTGAAGAACACAGACTTTGGCAAATCTAACATTCATGGCAGGGTTAACTCGCCCACTCTGAGCTTCGGCTTTCTTGTCTCTAAGATGAAAACTATGATATCATACTTAAATATTCAGTGAGAGGTACAGGAAGTGCCTAAGTGAAGTGGTACATATGTATATGTTTTTCTTTATTATGAAGTCTTCTCTCTCACCAACACAAATGGAAGAAATTATCTCACCCTTCCCCATTCCTTCCTCAGTGCAATCCCTCAGTCTTCTTGTTATAATTTTCCCTGGAAAAACATCTCCCCTGGTATTTGTCCATGGTTTTCACTTTGTCTAGATTTTGTGTGGTTAAAAGTTGGTGGGGAAGGAGCACTGGCCAGGCAACTCAGTTCATTACAGGATCCTCCAGATACAACAAGGTTGCAGGTTCAATCCCCAGGCAGGGCACGTACAAGAAGCAACCAGTGAAGGCACCACTAAGTGGAACAACAAATTGATGTCTCTCTCTCTCTCTAAGAATCAATCAATAAATTTTTGAAAATTAAATAAAATGTTGGTGGGGAAGGAAGTGGGAAGAAGAAAAAGATTCACAGAGTATGGCCCTCAGCATGGACAACTCTGCTCTCAGGCAGAAGGGAACTTATGAGCGAGCAAGCAAACATCTCCCTCTTCCTCAGAACTTCCATTTTTCCCCATGTGGAAAAGGCAGCCGGGTGTGTGGCCATATCTGTAGGCTCACGTCACTGAGTATAACTGCGTTTTTAATCGGGGTTTCCTTAAGAGCTATGTCCTCTGAGATGTGCTTTTGGAATGAAGTCACAATCACCTATAGTCCGTATTTATAACACACACACGCATATATAGCACATACATATTTATATATAATATTAGACTCTGTTGCCATGGAAACTATTACAGTGCTAACAAATTAAGCATTGTGACACCACTATAATAAGAAAAAAGAAATTCAAATGAAACATCAAGCATTTCTTTAAGCACAAATAGCTTTAGTAATTAAATACACAGAAACAACGCAGAAAACCACAAATTAATATTTAGAAGCCTTTTTGCAATATGAAAATTGGCTTTGATGCTGTTTTCCTTTTTTCCATTGCCTTGCATTATACATCCTTATAAATTACATTTGGCATTAGGTTTACAAGAATAGATCTGTTACATCAGATCTCTCAGACACCTGAAAGCTCAGCTCTCATTCTAAACAGTTACACCTTTCATAGTCAGTGAGAAAGAATTTATGGTTCTTTTAATTCATCAAAAGGAGGACTTTTTAAAAGGAAAACTCAGTTGTGAAGTTGGTCTTACATCCCTTGTTTCATTCAGACAACATGTAGAACTACCCCTGGGGTTTTGAATATATTAACATCCTTTCACAATTAACCCTAATGGGAAAAGTGTAGCATTTTTTCCAAGCAGATATATTCAAAGCTGAAAAATACATATGTTTAAATAGATCTCATTATATCAGCTACACCAAATCTCTCCTCTTTATACAGAGGATTGTACCTCTTTCCACTGTCATGCAACATTAAAATAAGAAGGCATACACAAGGATGACATGGATTTGACAAAAAATTAATGATTTGTACATCACTTTAATGCTTCAAATCTGCAATTCATGTATGCTAATTAGCTCATAATGGGCTGTTGAAGAACAGAACTGTCATCCTGCTGCTTCACAGGTTTCTGGAAGCTCCGATTCGGCACAGACTTGCTGGCTGGCTGCTGGATTCTGGGCTGTAACACGGCAAATCTCTGGTAGCATCCCCCACCCCTCCCCACACACACAATTGTTTCCTGGATGTGGTGCTTTAATCTATCAGAGTTATGATGGCATATCTCAAATAAGTGGTTCCCGGGTGCCGCAATACATACTGGGAGCAATAGCATAGGATCACTCTATCTAAATGATTGATTTCTGGATTTTAGGCTGTCAGGCTATACCTCAGAGGGCAGCTGTCAGCTTTCTAAATGTATGAAGTTGTATTATGCAGCACATTTGGAAAATGTATGTACAATTTTTTTAAATTTACAGATAAAAAGGCTGTGAAACTTGGAGAGAGAAAACAAAGGGGACCAAAAAGATGAGATATCTTTTCTTACTGTGATATCAGGTCTATCTCCCCAGTGCAAGAAAAGCAACTACCAGTCCCTTTGGTGGGAGGCAGGGGTGCCTTTGTGCTGCCTGGGTGGAGACAAAGACTGTCACAACAACAGGACAGTGGAAGGCAGAACTGCTTCATAAACCAAATGAAAACATCAGGGCTGGCCAGAAGCTGAGAGCTTTGAAAACAAGTCACTTTATTTTTACTGGAGAGAAAACTGATTGTCCCTGACCGTGTGACAGAGGTGTGACCCGAGGTGATTCTGACATCACATCAGCTGGTCCGTGAACCCAGCTCTGGCTACCCATGTCCGAATTGTTTTCAGACTTGACATGGCCATCAGGTTCCTACCTGCTGACATTTTGTCTTAAGGACTCCAAAAGGAAGATGTGTTTAATTAAAATGTCTTTTTCAACTGAAAAATACGAACTGGAAACCATAATGGGAGAACAGAGCCAGGCCAGGGAAATAAAATATCTCAAATGTAGTTGAGCTAATAAGGGATTTTATACAATAAGAAACAGATACTTTATAATATGCAAAATAATGGCATAATAATTAAAAAGGAGATTAAAAGTGATCAAGTTAATAAGATTTTTTGTTTGTTTGTAGATCTTTGTTTATTACAGCTTTAAGACCTTTATGCAAACATAGAGGGGAAATGTACTAATAAGAATAATTGGTGTTTAGTAAATGTTGATTGAAGGATTTTCTTCAAATAATGTGATTCATGGAAGACATAAAATGATATTCCAACTTAGAGGCTACACAGGGGTCTCCACTCAGCAACAGGAAAATGCATGTCAAAAGTAACAATAATATTTTATTTTCAGTAGACATCTGCATAACACTTTCTTGTGAAGGAAACCAAACTACAAATTTGAAGCCCTTCCAAGTGGTTGGGCTAGTCAAATGTGCAGATTTAAGGATGTGTTTTGGTAAACATTTAGGAGCGGGATAGTTGGGTTATTTAACAGATGTATACTTAGCTTTCTGAGAAACTGTCAAAGTATTTCCTAAAGTGGTTGCACCATTTTCCATGCCCTGCGCCCAGCAGTTTCCACATCCTCCCCAACACTTGGCATGGCCAGGCTTTTTAACTTTAGACATTCTAGTAGTTATGTAGTCACACCTTGCCGTGGTTTGGGTTTGCATTTTCCTCATGACTGCTGATGTTCAAGCATCTTTTCATGTTCTAATGTGCCTTCTGTATACTTTCTTTGGTGAGGTGACTGTTTAAATCTTTAGCCATGTTTTACTTGGTTTTTTTTTTTAAATCAAGTTTTGAGAGTTCTTTGTATACTCTGAATTTACTTTTTTGTTAGATCTATACATTCCAAATATTTTCTCCTAGACTGAGTTTTCTGTTTTCATCCTTTTAGCACTATTTTTTTGAAGAGCAGATGTTCTTCATTTTGCTGACATTATAGATATTATATGTAATTAATACACATATATAATCTTTTGGTCTCTTACTTTCCTGCTCAGCCTTCTGTAGAAGTTTATTTTGTTGTCTTCTCAAAACAAAAACAAACAACAGGTTTTGTTTTCATCAATTTTTACCCATTGTCTTACTATTTCATTAACTTTTATTTTCTGATCTGTTATTTCTTTTAATTTTCTTATTATACATTTCATTTGCTCTCTTTTTCCTATCTCTTAAGGTTGAATGCTGAGTTAATTGATTCTAAGCCAAAGAGAAATGAAACCATACATGCATGTGAAGATTGTTATATAAATATTCATAGTAAAAACCTGGAAACTACTCAAATGCTCATCAACAGGTGAACAAATACATAAATTGTGCTATATTTATATAATGGACTACTACTCATCAATAAGAAGAGAAGTGCTTTTACACAACCTATGTGGATATGTATGAAAATAAGTATGCTATTGAAAAAAGCCAGAGAAAAGAGGAAACACTATATGATTTCATGTATACAAAATTATTAAAAATGTAAAATAATCTACAGTCACCCAAGCAGATTAGTGGTTGCCTGGGGATGGTCATGGATGAGTGGTAAAGAGGTATTCAGAAGAGGCACCAGAAAACTAAGACAGGGAGGGGAGTGCTCATTAACTTGATTGTAATCAGTGTTTCATGGGTGTATGCACATGTTAAAGCTGATCAAATTGTATACAGCAAGTTCTCACTTAGCATCATCAACAGGTTCTTGGGACTGTGGTGAAACAGTGTATATTG